GAAATGGCGCCAGAGTAACGATAGACTTACAACTTTGTATCCGTAGGAAAGAGGTCGTCGAGTAAAGTCTTAGTTTAAATAAATTAGCCTATTCACTCACATTCTCCATATATTCTCGGCTCGACACATTTCGCAAAGCGTCTTTGTAGAGTTGATTAAATCACTTATCTTGGTTCATTTTCTTCGTTACAAAATCTATAGACAATGTTTAATGAATATTTAAACGAAATAAAAAGAAAAGATTGGAAGACAATATGGCGCCTTCTGTACTCACAGGTCGCCATGATGGAAGTGATTTTGTTTCTTATAAGAAAAAAATGTATATAGAAGTTTTTATTTTATATATATATAACTGTTTTATTCTATCTATCTATCTATCTATCTATCTATCTATCTATCTATATATATATATATATGTCTATATCATTTTATTTTTATTTTATATTTATATATATATATTTCTTCTAATTATATATATATTGTAGTTTCGTTTTTATTTTATATATATGTTTTATTTTTATTTTATATGTATATATATTACATTAGTTTTTATATATATATATATATATATATATATATATATATATATATATATTTCTTCTAGTTATATATATATATATATATCTTTTTTGCGTAAGAATAAATTACATATTTTTTTTACCAAGGATAATTGTTTTAGTATGTGTGATTGAGGTAATATACATAGAAATAAGTTTTACTGATCTTAATTTGTCTGACCGACTCTGAGGCTATCTGATGGCCGAAATAATTGCATATTTTTTGTTTATAATATTTTTGTTTATTTAAGGCCATTTTATTTTATTTAAAGTATTTTTTAGATTGTAATAGCTTTATGTAGCTAGTAATGATTTTCTGACACATCTCCTGCTACTTAAGCCATATTTTGATGGAGAAAAGGCGGATGGATTCATACATTTTCCAATGGTATTTTCGCATAAGTAAATATAAAGAAGCCGACTGGAATTCGAAATCGGCTCTCCGATTTCGAATTTTGCACCGTTATGCATTACACCAACCGCACATCTAAGATTACCTTCCTTCAGTGATCTGGCGAGAACCGGTGTTTCAATGTGATACGGTTGTAATCCGAAGCTACATAAAGACGGTAATTGTTTTTGAGGATGCTGTATATATACATTTCTATTGCTTACTACCATACATCCTGTTTTCTTGCGGATAGTCCTTTTTTCCCGCTTTCCTTTACTGTCTCGTCTAGCAGTTTCTGTCGTTTTCATCTGATTGCTATTAACACGAGTTGGATTAACTCGTTGTAAATTTTCAAAAACAGAGTGAGAAAGCACATCCTTGTCTTACGCCCCTTTCTATTTTTGTAACGCATCCCTTCCGAACATAGGCGATCATGGATCTCCACATCATCCTATGACTTGCGGTCCTTAGCTTCTTTTCTTACTTTCTTAAGCTTCCCACCAACCCCGTTCCGCCATGCCATTCATTAACATAAGCACGCCAGGTAAGTGCCTCACTGCCTACCCCTATCTCTCTTGCCCTGTGGATGTTAAGTTTTCCAAGACGTCTTTTCCTTTATGTGTCCAAGAAATTTAAGTTGTCTTTTCCTGACTTTTGTAATAACGTAGTTGTCCTATCCTTGGACATACTTTTTTCTTAATTTGCATCAAAAGACCTTCATGATGGCAAGTCTGATCAGTTTGATAAGGTAAAATTGACAGCTGATCTCAAAAATGTATGGAGCATATAACCGTAAGGAATTTTATATGACGAATACAACGTAAACGCCTTTTTATATAACTTTTTAACTTCACAATAATCTAAAAAAATAAAATAAAATATTCTAATATTTTAAAAATTTTATTGAAGTTTAGGTACTTTAAAGTATTACTTACGGAATCACTTGTTGAGGAAATGTTAAAAGATTATCAATAAATTTATATTTACTAGAGTTACCGTTCTTTTTTTTTGATAATATCGTGTATGAGCGCCCAAATTTGCAAAAATCAGCAACATTTTAAAGCTTTATAGATAACTTTTGGAGGTACCTTGATAATTAAACTTTGGAGGTACGTTGATAATTAAGCTTTGGAGGTACCTCGATAAATAATCTTTAGCTGTACCTTGATAATTAAACTTTGGAGGTACCTTTACAATCAAATTTTGGAGGTACCTTGATAGTTAAGCTTTGGAGGTACCTTGATAATTAATCTTTGGATGTACCTTAATAATTAAACTTTGGAGGTACCATGATAATTAAACTTTGGACGTACGTTTATACTTAACATTTGGAGGTACCTTGATAATAAGGCTTTAGATGTACCATGATAATTAAAATTTGGAGGTTACTTGATAATTAAGCTTTGGAAGTACCTTTATTATTAACCTTTGGTGATACCTTGATAATTAAGCTTTGGAGGTACCTTGATAATTAAACTTTGGGAGCATTATTCTAACAAGAAAATTAGTTTTTCTCGTAACTTTAAAAAATTAATTAAATTAAATTAATTTGATTAATTAAAATTCAATTTTAAATCATTGGAATGTGTAAATAGATGAAAACTTTACTTTTTAATCACATAAAAGAAACTTTACTGGTTGTTCCTTTTTGCGCCAAGTGTGATACCTGGTCAAAAACAAAAAAAAATAATTAATGGTCACATGACTGAATCCAGATCGCAAGATGGGATCAATCTTTTTTTAAAAATTAGTAAAATGTAATTTTTGATTTGACATTAGGGTCGGTGGTCTCCCCTTATATACAATATCAGTGACGAATAATCGAAGTAAACAAACCAGAATCAGCAATAAAACAAACTTGCAAATTGATTAAATACCTAGTTATCGTCTAAACGTGTAGAACTCTCTGAGAACAACTTAAAGTCCACTGAATAGGCAAGATTTCTTTTTTTATCTTAGATGCACGAGGCAATAAAAACATTAGCGATTCAGGAGAAAATATGTGAAGAGCAAATATATATCTTAACAAATGTGGAAGAGATGCAAGAAAATTTCAGCTTTTCATTGCGTATCTCTCTTTGACAACATCACGCTTTCGTTTTTTCTTTCATCTCTATGCAAACAGAGTGTTTCTCTTTCTCTTACAATTCTTAAATAGTATTACTAATTTTATATTGCTCAAAAGATATTTATCCTGGAAAAAGTTAGGCTATGCAATACATGATCCTGATATATATATATATATATATATATATATATATATATATATATATAAATGAACATTGAAGTCAACACCCAGAGGCAACAGGCTGCTTCAGGCTAGACGCAATCGTCAGGCCATATATATATATATATATATATATATATATATATATATATATATTAATAAATATACATGTACGATTCGGAGTTTTATGCACTACGCAATCATCAGGTGTATATATATATATATATATATATATATATATATATATATATATATATGGAGATTGACATTACATTTAAATAGTTGGAGATTATAGCTATCAGAGAAACAGGAGAAGTGCGAGACATGAAGCTATTGGAGTAGAAGAGACGGCTACATTTAATAGTTTCGACAGTGAAAGGGTGAGGGCGAGATGCCAGCCTTGTTGAATGCTTATATTCATGAAGTCTGGGAACCAGAAAAAAGCAGCTCATCGGAGCAGTTACCATGAAAGTATTTGTAAAAAAGACAGAGGCAGGCGACGGCACGTCTGTGCGAGAGCGACTGCAGACGAGATGCCAGATTACATATCCGCCGCTGGATTTTATCAAGGACCTTGAGACAAACAGAAGGGGCTCCAGACCATATATGGCAGCAATACTCCATGCAAGGGTGAATGGTTGATTTGTAGATTTGAAGGATCGACTCCGGCGAGAAAGATTTCCTGGCGCGGCACAGGGAGCCAACTTTCCTTGTGGTGGACGAAGCAATTGACTCAATGCATTTGTTCCATCTCAGGTCAGCAGTCAACGTGAGACCGAGCAGCCGCAGAGAGGTACTCTCGTGGAGTTGAGCGTCAGAGATATTAATGAGGGACAGGGATGGTTCTCTGTGATGAGGATATGGCAATGTGGAAAACGTCTTCGTCTGGAGCGTTTCATCATCGATAAATTTTATGTCTACATTACTGTGACTACACAAGCGCACGAACGAGCCACGCTGGTGATTTTAAATTTGAAGATGAATTTTTAATGTGTTTTGGGTATAAAATCTAGCCGATTTCATTTTGATTATTTTCATTTTTGTTTGCATTCCCGTCCCTTTTGTTATTAAATATCCGACATTGGGACAAGAGAAGATCTGCTAAGACTGGTGAAACGTTGTAAGGACCTGGAAACAAATTTACATATTCGTCTTAGTGAATTGTTTTCTTTGTTAATTAGAGAGTCATTTTCATATATGTTCGTTATGTCTATCTTTATTGCATATGGTGTGTGTCAGAAACGTCATCAAACAATCAGTAGCAAGCCAACTATACCAACCTGCCTCATCGTCTTGCAGTTGTTTGGAACAAAGCAGCACCTGTGTTTGCAACAAAGTTTGCAGGTCATCATCTGGACTGAAAAGGCACCTGGTGATACACAGAAGAATTGTAGGCCAAGAAAATTCGGTCAATCCAATCAATAATTTATCTGTCATCATAGCTATCTATGCTTGATATCTATGAAATCAAAAACTGGTCTCAAGGGCCATTTTAGGGGCCATGGACGACGAGACTGCATTACAAGTGATGCGAGGAATGAAAAGATAACTCCTGACTGATTGGATGATTATCAACCCTTTGCATGTTGTTTAAAGCGGAGAAAATAGTTTTAGACTGTAAGAATTTTTTAAAAGATAATAATACTTTAATGATACAAGACTTACTAATTAACCCATAGCTGAGGAGACGAGTTGAATTCACATATTTCGCAAGTGTAATTGCGCGTAAGTGAATATAACGAACTCGACAGGAATTAGAACCTGGCTTTCCAATTAACAATTCAGTGGCATTATTCATTACCCCACACGCACACCCAAACTTAACACACCTGGCATTCCCAAGCGGTCGCCCATCTAGGTACAAACCAAACTCGGCGTTTCTTAACTTTGGTTATCATATGGGAACCAATGTTTCACCGTGATATGTCCGTAAGCCTTTCATCTGATTAAGATGTGGCAATCACCATATATATATATATATATATATATATATTACATGAATCATTCATACAAAAACAGATATTGAAGATAATGATATAAATGGCGAGAATACATCTTCGCAAACAAATTTAATAAATTACATTAACCCCAAACCTGTAGATGAATGTTATGTTCCCTGTTTATAAATTCCAGTTGCCTAAGATATTTTTTAATTACAAGCTTTCATCTTTGCATACAGACATCATCGGGTATAGAAATAGATTTGTTAATAACACATTTCTAAAAACATATTTCGGATTTATATCATTAACTTCAATATCTGTTTTTTTTTGTATGAATGATTCATGTAATGTAAATTGAACTGCACCACATACTTGATATATATATATATATAGTAAAAGAAAAAACACTAAGATATATAATCCGGTGTTCTTATTAATATTTTTATTCTTATTTTTACAAAACATTGCTCAATGTAAATTTATAGAGCATAAATATTATAAACTAGCAGTAGAGACCGGCGTTGCCCGGGGATGTAACAGTAAGAGATAGATCAAGTATCGACCATCATAAAGACTGAAAAATAAAATTGACAAAGATTATTGTTTAAGGTTGACGGACACGCATGTCTTAATTATTATTTTTTTTTTTTTACGAATTGGTCAAACCCAAACTCAAACAAAAGCATTGTTTTCAATTATTATGAGTCTATCGATTGAATAGAATTTTATTATAAACAATTGTCTTGTAAATGGAATTTTTAAAGCATTCTGAATGTAAAAATAAAGAAAAATGTGTGCAAGGCAATAAGAAACACTACCTGCCAATTAAAGTGAAGTTTTGTTGAAATCGGTTGAAAAATGTAGGAAATCCGATCCCATAAATAAACGAACACACACACACACACACACACACACACACACACACACACACACACACACACACACACACACACACACACACACACACACACACAACCAGGTTTTTTATAATAAGTATAACTCGATATGAGTTGCCCCCCTTTCATTTTCGTGATGCCTCTTAATCGTGTTTTCAAATTAATTTCGGGCAAAAACAATTGTGTTTTTTCAATTTTTGGCACTGTTAGAACCACCGGAAAGTAATTTTACGTAGTCCTGTAGAGTTTTGTTGAAATCGGCTGGAAAATGTAGGAAATCCGATTCAATATATAAACACACACACACACACACACACACACACACACACACACACACACACACACACACACACACACACAATCTGGGTTTTATAATAAGTATGATTAACTGATTTAAAATTCACTTGAAAATGAACAGAATTTGGGCCTTTAATTTAATTATATAATTGAATTTTACGTATTTAGTTTCTTTTTTCGAAACATGGTAATTCCTGTGTAGCGATGGAACCATATTTTTAAATCAGTTAATGCATAATATATATATATATATATATATATATATATATATATGCATCGACACTTGTTCGCAGAGACACGCACACTTGCGAAGACAGATAAAAAGACTTCCACACACGTTTCCTATTTCTCTTTTCCACACACACACACACGCGCGCGCGCGCGTTCGCACATACATATGTCGTATGTGTGAAACGTAATTGGGATAGTTATCACATTTTTATAGACTTGCTTTGAGGAAGATAATTTATTAAAAATTAACAAAAGGAAACAAATATGAAGAAAATAATATATTAAAATATTCCATTTTTTTTCCTTTAAGCACAAATTCTACTTTTCAACGTTCACTTTCAACTTTGCTTTCAAAATGGAGTCACATTGTCGCCGTTCTAAGGCCTTATTTCTCATGCGTGTTCAGATATCTGAGTGTTAGATTTGATCTCGAGATCTTTCCATCTTTAAACTGCGTCAAAATGGGCAGGCATCTAGGCGCCACCTTGATTGTTATCGAATCAGAAAGAAGTTTTGAGCGTTAGTTATTTGGACGGCTGAAACTTGTCTGCGGGGAATTCGAAAATTAATTGCGAAATTTTACCGGTATCTTTAACGTCTGTGATGAAAGACATTAAAAATCGATAAAAAATACAAATAAAAATTATGAGTAGAAAAAGCTGTCAGAAACGGAGACATAAAAAAACAAATACAAAAAAAAAAAAAAAAAATTCACCTTTTAAAATTTTGGCAATGATTGTAATTCCTTTCTCAAAGTAGAAATTCTCCAAGTATATTTTCAAAGTTAAAGTGAAAAACTTTAAAGAACGCACTTAGTTTGTTTATATTTGTCAGTCTATGATGTTTATAATACCACATTATATTGTAAATCACAAGCCTACGTATTCATGCCTTATATATCAATATATATATATATATATATATATATATATATATATATATATATATATATATATATATATATATATATATATGGGTTATTAGGATAGAAAAGTGGAGAAATTAGACAAAGCTTTTACTTATATATATATATACATATATATATATATATATATATATATATATATATATATATATATATATATATATATATATATATATATATATATGGGTTAGTTAGGATAGAAAAGTGGAGAAATTAGACAAAGCTTATACATATATACATACATAGATACATACACACACACACACACATATATATATATATATATATATATATATATATATATATATATATATATAATGCCACACTTATTAAAAGAGAAAAATAACTAAGTTTGGCGGAAATTTCTTGAGAGTTCCGCTAGAGGATTTTGCCAACATCTTAACCCGCGTCACGTATTTTTTTTCAAATAACTTCTGTCTTAAAAGATATACGTCTCTCACCAAGACAACATACATGACGATAAAAATTAAAAAAAAAAAGTAAAGGCAAACGGTGAAATCAGAATCGACTATTATTTAAAATAAATGCATACATAATTTGTCACATCAAAATATTTATTAAATATTAATTAATAATTACATATAAAAAGTAAGTTACTAAATAATCAAATAGGGAAGAAAATAATCAATTAGAAAGAAATAACAAATTTACTCATTTTGGTTTATTATACTTCGTAAATTATATCAATTAGCATATTCCATAGTTTACCTTTACTTACAGTTAGTTTTAAGAATCATATTGAGTGATTTTAAAAATTAAAAAAAACTAACCATATATGTTTACTTCTGTAAACCGAAAGAAAATTTTTACTTCTGTAAACCTGACGATATATTTACATCTATAAACCTAACGTGTTTTGACCTCTGTATCTAATGATATTTTGAATTCAGTAAACCTAATGATATTTTTATTTTGGTAAGCCGAAGTATATTTTTACTCCTTTAAACCTAAAAATGTTATGATTCTGTAAGACTAACGGTATTTTTACCTTTGTAAACTAATGATATTTTTATTACTTTAAACCTAACAATATTATTACTTCTGTAAACCTAACGGTATTTTTACTTTTGTAAACCAAATGATAACTTTATTAATTTAAACCTAGCAATATTATTACTTCTGTAAACCTAATGGTATTTTTACTTTTGTAAACCAAATGATAACTTTATTAATTTAAACCTAGCAATATTATTACTTCTGTAAACCTAACGGTATTTTTACTTTTGTAAACTGAAGCATATTTTTATTTCTGTAAACCGAAACAATTTTGCTTCTAACGATATTAAAAATTTCTCAGTAAACCTGTAGAAAACGACAATATTTATAAATGTTAAAGACAATAGAAAAACTGTAATATTAGTCGACGCGTTTCGTAATATGTGGACTTTTTGAAGACAAAAAACGAAAAAACGTTTCGTTTTTTGCCTTGAAAAGTCCACATTGAAAGGCGTCGGCTTATATTACAGTTTTCCTATTGTCTTCTAACGATGCTTTACCTCTGTAAACCTAACGGTATTTTTACTGCCGTAAAAGGTAAAAAAAGAATCTAAATTATTTCAGTTAGATTATATACACAAAGCACACATAAAAAGAATCATCTTTAAATTAAAAAATTCCCAGTGTCTCCAGTTCGTGTGAATGTGTAGTCGTATCAGTGTAAACATAAACTTAGATAAAGCCCTAAAGGTCAAATATCTTTCGTCCAAAATTCTTGATATATAAACGTTTACATATTGTTATCCCATATCTATAATATAATTTATAAATACATATTTTAAAATAAAATGCTTAAATTTATCTTGATAAATTCTCTCAGAATTGGTAAATAAATGTTATCCGTTTTGACTTTTCAAAGATGCATTTTAATTGATTGTAATTCTTTTCTCAAAGTAGAAATTCTCCAAGTTTATTTTCAAAGTTAAAGTGAAGGACTTTAAAGATCGCACTTAGTTTGTTTATATTTGTTAGTCTATGATGTTTATAATACCACATTATATTGTAGATCACAAGCCTACGTATTATATCTCATATATATGTATTTTTACACACACACACACACACATACACACACATTCGTATGTACACTATTTACATTATTCAGTCTACTGTCCTCATCATTGTCATCATATTTATTACAATGTTCCGGCCTTCTTCAAGTGGTTGGAATATCGAACTGAACCCTTTATTCTACTAGGGTAGACTATTCTAGTTCCACGAGCCATGCCTAATTGATGTCAGTTATCAGTTATCTCCTGTTAATTCCCCTCTCAAAGTTCTCCACCGCCTTAACCAGGTATTGAACTCACACTCTTTGTTTCCTGTCACTGGATCAAACTAACGCCTTTATCCACTGTGCCATGTGTCCTTGAGGCCGGAGCGTACAACGAGTGAAACATTGTAATAAATATGGCGACAAAGATTACAATAGTCCGAATAATGTAAATTGTGTACATAATACCTCATCTCAGAAATATAGACAGATACTGAAAGGCCGAAACGTTGTAATAAATATGGCGACAAAGATGAGGACAATAGTCCGAATAATGTAAATAGTGTACATAATACCTCATCTCAGAAATATAGACAGATACTGAAGGGCCGAAACGTTGTAATAAATATG